GACTTGAGATCCTTGACGGTACCTACAAATGGAACACAAAAATGTAAAATTAGATCAATAATGATTGAAATTAATCTTAAAAACGGTTAAATGAAGTGACAAAAGGCCAAAACGCCATATTAGATGGGATGCATGACTCCGCCCCCCACGATGACCTCTTCTTAACGTGAGGCACATACAAGTCCATTAAATATTTGTAAAATTATCTCAATATCATGTGTGCTTTACCTTTAATGTTCATTCATGTAAATTTGAAGACAAGGCGTCAAATCCGCCGTCTAAAATGGACTTGAGATCCTTGACAGTACCTACAAATGGAACACAAAAATGTAAAATTAGATCAATAATGATTGAAATTACTCTTAAAAATGGTTAAATGAAGTGACAATAGGCCAAAATGCCATATTAAATGGGACGCATGACTCCACCCCCCACGACGACCTCTTCTCAACGTGAGGCACATACAAGTCCATTAAATGCTTGTAAAATTATCTCAATATCATGTGTGCTTCACCTTTAATGTTCATTCATGTAAATTTGATGACAAGGTGTCAACTCCGCCCACAAAATAGGACTTGAGATCCTTGACGGTACCTACAAATGGAACACAAAAAATGTAAAATTAGATCAATTATGATTGAAATTACCCTTAAAAATGGTTAAATAAAGTGACAAAAGGCCAAAACGCCATATTAGGTTCTGATATAGCTCCAACCACCACCTCTGCTCCATTTAGAATGATATCTGGTTCCTGCTGCTTATCTGATGAGAATATGATCCAAGCAGATCAATTCACACTCACTCCTTTATTACAGTCACCTGCAACTTTCCCTCCATTTTTAGTACACATTCTATTAGTATCACCATCATTGGTATCATCATTATCAGTAGTGGTGGTGTTGGTTGATTCTAATGCCAGTATCATTGTCAGTAGTGTTTCCAGTGCTAATAATGTTGGTTGATGATATCGTGTGATAAGAGCTGGGGAATGCTTGCTGTATAGAGAGAAAAGCAGTTCATCAAACTTAATATGGAACATAAGTACATGTATATGTATCAGAAAAAATTATAAAAATGGAGAATTCTCATCTTTTCATTTTTGGCAAAATTTGGCCAAAATCACTGTACAATTATAGTACAGGTACTTTAGTCAGATTTTGGAGAAACTTTAAAAATTCATTATAAATCCAATCTTGATCGGAATTAACTCAAACTTTCTACACAACATAAGAACATGTACAATGCATATGCATCAGAAACTAATTAGTAAATAAACAACTTTTTCCTAATAAATTTTAGCAAAATACCCCGTACTATAGTACAGGGTAATTGGCTAAGCTTAATAACAGCTGATGGCTGACATACCTTAGCAAGTAGCTTGCTCAGTCTCTCTCACACATTAGTAAAGTAGGTACTGCAATCATAATTAACATATAACTCTGATACAAAATTATGAATGTGACAAAACTAAAGAAAAGAGA